AAGACTTATTGTCTCAGGCCTAATCTTTAGGTCTTTGATCCATTTTGAGTTTATTTTGGTGTGTGGTGAAAAAGAATGGTCAATTTTCAATCTTTTGCATGTGGCTGTCCAGTTTTCCCAGCACCATTTGTTGAAGAGACTTTCTTTTCTCCATTGTAGACCCTCTGCTCCTTTGTCGAAGATTAGCTGTCCATAGATGTGTGGACTTTTCATGCTTTTATTGGCCTTTTACGGTAAAAAGAAAGCAAACAAAAAAAAATTTAAGTTTCTTTAAAGGCTAAAATTATTCATAAGCCCTGAATTTGACTTTACTAGAAATGGCTTTAGTAAGTTGTGGGTAGCTTAGATTTTTCTGGTACTCTTGTAAATGTTTCATTTTTTTCTGTTTACAAAAAAAGAGATGTTTGTCATATTCTCAGAAATAAGAAGTAAGGGATTTTGATGAGAAAATTGATGGGAGTAAAAAAACTTAAAAGTAATAATCTAGGGGGCTAGCCTGGTGGCGTAGTGGTTAAGTTTGTGCATTCTGCTTTGGTGGTGTGGGGTTTGTGGTTCGGATCCTGGCCGTGGACCTACACACTGCTAAACAAGCCGTGCTGTGGAGGCATCCCACATACAAAATAGAGGAAGATTGGCACAGATGTTAGCTCAGGGCCTGTCTTCCTCACTGAAAAAAAAAAAGATAATCTGAAATGAGATTCACAGTGACAGAAACCAGTTTAACAAAATGCCATTTTCTTTCCTTGCCATTTAACATAGCCATCTTTTCTCTTTTTTATGTAAAGACTTAAATCATACCAGAGTTGGAAAAAAGAAATTCAAGGAATTTAGTTTTCTAATAGGTTAACAGGAAAACAAACAAAAACCTATCATATAATACTTTTTCCCCATTTCTCCTTTATTAAAAACTTGCAAGTCATTATCTCTTTTGCTTGTAAGTGCCTGTGGTAATGGAAAAAATCTCTAGGACATAATGTTTAGCAAAGATTGTCCTATAAGGAAAGAAAATATATTACAGATGAGACAACAGAGATCCTTTGAATCAACCAATAAAATTATTCAACATTTTGGTTTCTTAAATAAGTACTAGTTGTTCAACTGTTATTTTTTCCTATTGATATGATTCTGTCCATTAATACTGTGAAATTCTTGGAGGAATTAAAAGTGTTATTTTTCCCCATTTAATGTAATTTTTAGGACTCTACTTAAAAAAATTTAAATTTATAATTTTTATGTAAACTTAAGCTGTTCTTTTGAAAGACTGGAATGGTTTAAAAGAATGACTTAAAATGTCATAATGAAAGGATACTATGAAAAATATATTGAAAGCGAGCTAGATTTCTAACATCTAACGATTCTTACTATATATACCTATGGACAAAAACATAAAAAATATACAGATAAATAGAACAGGTAGTAAATTAAGTCAATAGCTGGGTATATCTCTATGAGTAATTATTTAGATTTATTATGAGTAATTATTTAGAGTTGGGTGTATATGTTGGAAAATGATTATAGCTTTGGTTTGTTCTTCATTTTCTAATTCTTTGAGGTGAAAAGTTAGATTTTTTTACTTGAGATCTTTTTTATTTAACGTAGGCTTTTATCATCATAAACTTCCCTTTTAGTTCTGCTTTTGCTGCATTCCATAGTTTTAGTATGTTGTATTTTCATTTTCATTTGTTTCAGGATATTTTCCAATTTCTCTTTTGATTTCTTCTTTAGCTCATTGGTTGTTCAAGAGTGTGTTGTTTAATTTCCACATATTTGTTAATTTTCCAGTTTTCCTTCTGCTATTTTCTAATTTTATTCCATTGTAGTCTGAGAAGATACTTGGTCTGTCTGCTTAAATTTGTTAAGACATGTTTTGTGACCTAACGTGTCATCTATGCACCTAATGTGTGATCTGTCCTGGAAAATGTTCCATCTGTGCTTGAGAAGGATGCGCATTCTGCTGCTGTGGGTGAAATGTTTTGGATATGTCTATTAGGTCCCTTTGGTCTGTAGTGTTGTTCAAGTCTTCTGTTTCATATTGATCTGTCTGGATGTTCTACCCATTACTGAAAGTGGGGTGTTGAAGTCTCCTAGTATGACTTGATTGCTATTTCTCCCTTCAGTACTGTCAATGTTTACTTTTTGTGCTTAGGTGTTCTGATGTTGGGTCCATATATGTTTGTAATTGTTATATCTTTCTGGTGAATTGACCATTTTATCATTATATAATGTATGTCTTTGTCTGCTGTGACACTCAATACATATTAGCATTATTATGATATAAGTTCTTGGCTTCAAAGGTATTCATTCCTGGTACCTTCCTGATCAGGGTTTAGCCCAGGAAATCCCCAGATTCATATATTTACTTATCTGCAGAAGCTAACAATGCATTTGCCTTGTTTTGAATTATAATATCAGTACTTCTACTTTAATGGACTTTTAGTACTCATCAGCAGTTTGTCAGATTTCTTTCACACTTCCATAACTTTTTGTTTTCTGTTCGTTAGGGCACAGCCCTAACTTCCATCCTTACATTCTAGTAAATTAAAAGAAAAAAAGTTGTATATACACGGATATTGTGGACTATATGAAATACATTCATTTTTTAAAACAAAGCAAACAAAAACTGACTTTTTTTTACCCCTAGGCAATTCGGAGTTTTCAAGTAGCCCTTCACATCTACCCAATGAACCCTGAAATATGGAAAGAAGACCTTTCTTGGGCAAGAACGCTCCAGGAGCAGCAGAAGGTAGCACAGAGGATTAAAAAAAGTGAAGCACCAGCGGAAGTAACCCATTTCTCACCAAAGTCAATTCCTGACTATGACTTTGAAAGTGATGAGATTGTTGCTGTTTGTGCAGCTATTGCTGAAAAACAGAAGACCATCTCAGCAAATAAAACAATGGTGATTGTGTCGGCCTCTGGGACTGTGGAGACGGTAACTGAGAAGGAAGATGGTGCTGCCCCACCAGATGGCTCTGTTTTTATCAAAGCCCGATGAAGCATAGCAGGAATTCTTTGAATCTGTCTTTTTGATTGCCACTTAAAGTTGTGAGCATAGGGACATTTACTCTGGAGAAATAGGGGAAAACTCCTGTTTGTAAAATAAGTTTTTCAGATGAAGCGTATAAAAATAAATGGTAGAAGTATTGTATAGTGTTTGGACTATGCATTGATAAGTTATGATTTAAACTTCTTAAGATTAGAATTCTGAGTCTAGTGGTTTTTGATTAATAAACTTAATTTAATCCAAATATATAAGTGAGTACATTTTAAAGACACAACTTGCAAGTGGATTCTCGAACAGTGAATAACTTGATGGCCAGTGTTATATTAAAATGTTGACTTGTTGACTTTTGTTTTATGATAAAGGAAGTGGGTGATTTCTTTTCCTTTTAGAAATATACTGCTGTCACTATTCACTCTTCTATTTTTCTTGTTTCATTAGAGTAAGTTTGTCACAAAGCTTGAATATTTTTGAAAGTCATTTTGATTCAAAGTTGTCATTTGGTTACAAGTGGAATCTTTGAAAGTTCGGCTGAAAATGCATGCAAATGTGTACATTCTGAACATTTTCTGAAGTTTCTCCTAATTCTGATTTGTGCTTACATTTTGACTTTAAAATTATTATAACAATGGTACTTGCCTCCTTCACTATTTGTTAGATGTATAAAGAACTGGTAAACGTTAGAATGATGGTTTTATTTTTTTAATTGTTAAAGTAGGTAGAATAGTTCTTACCGCACGCAAGTCGTTTTTAAGATGTGCGTCTTTGAAATGAATGGCTCCTATAGATACATCGTAACAAATTGTACTGCTGTCTTGTCCCAGTCAAAAGCAGTATTTTCTTCTTATTATTTTTAAAAGCTTAAAAACCTTGAAGATAACTTAGCTCTTGCTTATAACTTTCCAGCTGATAGTTTGGAATTCCTTTTCTAGATAACTTTTTTGGAACTACTCAGTGAAATGAGAAATAATCACAGTTTTGAATAGCTAAATTGTATCTTTCTAAAGATAAAAAGCAGGGTTGTTATTATTAAAGTGCCACTGAGTGAATAACTTAGGCACAGCACACGTGGAAACCGAAATGTGACTTATGGTACAGGCCCATGAGTAGAGAAGGATATGATATGTTGAAGGAATATTTCATTGAAAGGCCACAATCACATCCCCAAATCAATACTGTCATTGCTAATGTGAATTATAATTTTTATCCTACATATATTGTAGTACAATTATATAAACTGCTGGACGCTGATACTTCTGACACTCAGGAAGCTATTATTGGTGTAAAATTAATTTTATCCTTGTTAGAGATGAAAGTAAGTTACTTTATTTTAAGGAATCTTACCTTACTCTCTTGGAGGATGTGAGTAACGGTCTACATTTTTCTGAGATGATTTTTAAAATTTTTATTTTAGTGGAATGCTTCTCTCTTTTTTTCAGAGTTGGAGAAGTCAGCGCTTGCCTTGAAAAGTATATTTTCCCCCAAAGTTGTATCAGAAAGTTAGCTCTGGTCAGAGAGGTTAGTTTTAGAATGATCCAGAAAACCAAATATTAATTATATTTTATTTTGTATAATAAGGAATATCCTCAAAGGGTAGATAGTTGGGTATCTAGAGAAGTGAGCACTTACCATTTGGTATGTTGTTTTGAGTAATAGGTGTTTGTTTATTGTGTAATTTGTGAATAAATATTTTTTCTGAATTTTAAAGATTTGCCTGTTGTGTTGTTAGCTTTTTAAAAATTAGATTTATTTATTTAATTTCTTTCTTATGTGACAATAAAATATGTAAAGCACCTTGCATGGTGTCTCGCATATGAAGTACTTGGTAAATGCTAGCTTTTTCTTTGAAGAACTTGGATTAGTTTGGAAATGTTTAACCTCAGTTTCTTCTGATTTTAAGAAAGCAAGACAACTTCTTTGTAATCTTTTCCTTATCTGAAAGTGAGACATCACTCCTCATATTACAGGACAGATGGTTATCAGTTGGAGGTTCTTCTTGTTGTAAGCTCTGTGCCTTAGCCCCAAAAGAGGCAGGAGCCAGAGTGGCGCGCACGTAGCCCTAGCTTCTGTTGAAGAACCTAGGGTTTCCCACATTGGCATTGCTAGGCCAGGTTAGTCACTTCCTTGCTCAGATAGAAGAAATAAGAGGTTTTAGACATAAGTTGGAGGAGAGAAAGAAGTAGTCAGTCATGGAGAAGAATGGCAGTTCATTTCTCCAGGCCCCTAAAAATGCTTGGCTAACACTCTGGTACGCACAAGGAGAAAAATACATGCATTATTTTATAAGGATGTGAATACTGATATAAAGACATTTACTAAGTTTGTTACATAGAATAACACATCCTTTTGAATCTGAAAGAAAAATAATTGATGTTCATGGTAGTGACATAATTAAAGATGTTTAATACACTTTCTGAAAACACTAACACTAAAATTATACTGAATATAATTTGCATTATTCTTACTTGAAAATTGTATGGCAGAGACACTCATTAGATAAAACACTACACATCCAGACCATGCCTGATAATTTGAGAATCATATATTATTTTCTAGACAACTTAGGTTATAGAGTATTTATCTTAAATGTGCTAATAAATGCTATGTAAACATTGAAAAGTTTAGATCGCAGGACCTAGATCTACAATTGGGGCCTATGTACAAAATTTTATGGTGGTAGTCTAAATATAAGAAGCTTTTAAATTGATGTTATATGGCAAAACTATAATGAGGACATAATAAAAAAAACTGTCTCAGAAAGCTAGAGTTTCCATAACTGACCAGTATAGCCTTTTCAGTTTGAAAATTATGCTTTATGTAATATCAAAAGCTTGTTTCACTGCCTTTCCCAGCAGTAGGAAAATTGTCAATAATTTCTTTAATTTCAGGCTTCCTGGTTCAGAAGCCCTTCTAAATCGACTGTGGACGTTGATTTCGGGACATACATGTGATCTAAATGAGTTATGAGTTGACACAAGAACCATAGTTTCATAATTATCTTCAAATAATGGATATACTAAATGTGGTTTTTATTTTCCTGAGAGAGGATTATTAAACTGATGGTGTATTTTGTAACTGCTGGCATTTTAGGATTGAGAAAGTAATTTTTTTTAACCAATAAGAAAATACAGAAATTTGTAAATGACTAATCATTGCCAAAGTAGATTAAAATGAAATATATCCCTTTAGTCACTTGCAATTAAACATGCCCACTTGAACGGAAGAGAAGGGGTGGCCCTATCGCTGGTGTACCGTGAATTGTGCCTTAATGTGTGTTATGTGTGAACTTCACCAGCTGTGTGTGCCAAGCTGGAAGAAAGGTTGAGAAATGCTGATCTCCCCTTCATTGGGATGGCAGAGGGTGGGATGGCTTCCTTTCACAGTGCTGCTTTGGATACCATTAAGCAAGGAATCCTGATCTCTCCCTTCCCTCCTCCCTCCCACCTCCCCAGGAAAGGGAGCTTAAGATAAAGAACTGGACATACAAGCCCCTTTCTCCGCTTTTTTGGATGTTCCTGCAGAGATCCTATGTTGTAGTCTCTTGGCAGACCTGTTGTGAGTTTTGCAGTGAAGGCTCTCTGCCTCTGCGAGGGGAGAGCTGTGCTTGTGCAGGATTGCCTGTGCCTTGGGGAGCACGTCTGTCTAATTCTGGCTTTGATATCAGGTGGCCATTGTTGCCACAAACCTAAATTTTATGCTCTACCCTAGACTTTCTCAGCAATAAATCTGACATATTGAATCTCCATCTGCCTGATTCTTTTTGTTTCTCAAGTAGCTCAGAGGTCAGGAGGGGACAAGGGGTATTATTTTATGACTCCCTCAAACCCCGACAAAGATTAGTGCAGATTATATTTCAAAGTACGCATGACACAAAAACTGAATTGGAGAATTTTTTCTAATTTTACATTTTCTTAAATCACTGAAATTCTATTGAAAATGGATAATGTTAATTACAAGGCAACATGTAAATATTTGTTCAGGATATTTGAAAAGTCGACTGGCTTGACATTGTGATAGACCACAATGTTGACTCTAGATTTAATTTGAAGGAAGGAATGTGAAATGAATCATGATAGCCTCTGCCCACTCTGTCAACTTTTTTAAGAGTGTAATTTACATATAGTAAAATGTGCCCATTTTAAGTTTACAGTTTGAGGAGTTTTGACAAATGTGAACCCTCACGCAGTCACCGTTACCATCAAGGTGAGGGATATTTCCATCACCCAAAAAGTTCTCCAATGCTCATTTGCAGTCAGTTCCCTTCCACCCCAACACCAAGCAAGTTTCAACTACTGATCTGCTTTCTGCGACTGCAAAGTAGATTTGACTTTTTTAGAATTTCAGATAAATAGATCATACAATATGTACTCTGTGTCTGACATTTTTTGCTCAGCATAATACTTTTGAAACCTATCCGTGTTGAGATTCATCCATGTTATTGTGTATGTCAGTAATGTGTTCCTTTTTATTGCTGAGTATTATTCTGTTGTGTGGATAACCCACAATTTGTAGCTATTCATATCTGTGGATGGACGTCTAGGTTGTTGAACATCTGAATTTTGATCTATCACGAATAAAGCTGCTATGTATATACATCACAAGTCTGTGTGTGGATATATGTTTTCATTTCTCTTGGGTAAATACTGGAGGTGGGATTGCTGAGTGTTATGGTAACTATATATGTGTAGTTTAGAGGAAACTGAAACTTCTCCAAAGTATTATGTATTAAAAAATTTCAGTTGCTCAGTGTCCTTGTCCATGGTTGGTATTGTCATTGTTTTTAATTTTAGCCACCTTGGTGGATATGTAATGCTATCTCATTGTGGTTTTAATATTCGTTTCCCTGGTGATGTTGAGCATATTTTCATATGGTCATTTGACATTTGTATAATTTCTTTTGGGAAGCACTGTTCAAATTTTTGCTGATTTTTTATTTGGTTTATCTTATTACTGAGTTATCAGAATTTTTTTCTATATTCTGGATAAAAATCCTTTATGAGATATATGTATTGTGAGTATTTTGTCCTCATCTGGGGCTTGCCTTTTTGTTTTCTTAATGATACCCTTTGAAGAGCAGAAGTTTTTAATTTTGATGAAGTCCAATTTATATATTATTCTTTTAAGGTTGTACTTTTTGTGTGTTGAGCAATCTGTGTTTACTCCAAGATGAGAAAGATTTTCTATGTTTTCTGTTAGAAGTTTTACAGTTTTAGCTTTTATAGTTAGGTCTGTGATTTGTTTCAAGTTAATGTTTATGTATGGTGTGAGGTAAAGGTCGAGGTTCATTGTTTTTGATGTCTAGTTATTCAAACACTATTCATAAAAAACCCATCCTTTCTCATTGTAATGCCTTGGCATCTTTGTTGAAAATTAATTCACCATGTGTTTGAGGATCTGTCCAAGCTGTGTGTTCTGTTACACTGCTTTATATGTCTGTTCCTATGCCAATACTGCCCTGTCTTGATTACTATAGCTTAAAATCCTAGTCTTAAAAATCACTGTAATTTTTCAAACTTATTTTCACCCCAAAATCGTTTAGCTATTCAAATTTGTTTGTCCTTCCATATACATTTTAGAATCAACCTGTTTCTATCTACTTGCAAGTCTTCTGGGATTTTGATTGAAATTGTTTTGAACCTATAAATCAGTTTAGGAGGAGTTACTGTCTTAACAATACCACGTCTTCGAATCCATGATCATGGCATGTCATTGTTTTGTGTCTTTAATTTCTCTTTGTACTGTGTTTTAGTTTTCTGTGACTAGGCCTTGCCCGTATTTTCGTTAAGTTTATCCTTAAATACTTCATATTTTTTTGATGCCGTTACAAGGAGTGTTTTTAAAATTTTATTTTCCAATTTGATACGATGACATAAAAATACAATTTAGTTTTGTATATTGACCTTGTAGCCTACCACCTTGGTAATTGATTTATTAGTTGCATTAGCTTTTTTGTAGATTCTTTAGGATGTTCTACATGTATTATCATGTCTTTGTGAGTAAAGACAGTTTTCCTTCTTCCTTTACAAACTGTATGCTTTTTATTTCTATTTCTTGCCTTATTGCACTGGCTAGAACCTCCAGTGCAACGGTAAATAGAAGCTGTGAGAATGGACATTCTTGCCTGGTCTATAATCTTTTGGTCTTTGACCATTAAGTATGATGGTAACTGTAGTTTTTTTATGTATGTCCTTTATTAAATTGAGGAAGTTCCTTTCCTAGTCTGCTGAACACCTTTTATCATGAGTGGGTATTGAATTTTGTTAAATGTATTTCCTGAATCCATCAGAAGATTGTATGATTTTTCTCTTTTATTCCATTAATAAGATGAATTACATTTTTCAAATCTTAATTCAGCTGCATTTCTGGGATAAACCCTATTTAGTCATGATGGATTATCCTTTTTTAGCTCTTCTTGATTCAATTTGGTAATATTAAGAATTTTTACGTCTATGTTCATGAAGAATATCGTTTGGTAGTTTTCTTGTAATATCTTTAAAATTCTTGAATCAGGATAATGTGGACCTCATTTAAAAAAGGTGAGAAGTATTTCTACCTGCTCTTTTCTCAAAGGATTTCTATACATTTGGCATTTCTTTCAATAGTGTTTAATAGAGCTAACAAGTGAAGTTACCTAGGCCTAGCATTTTTCTTTTCGGGAAGATTTTAAATTACAAACTCAGTTTTAAAAACAGCTACAGTGTAAATCTTATCATTTATGTCACATTGAGTAATGGTATGGTTTGATTAAATTAGGATCCAAAATCCACTCATTGCGTCTGTTCACATGTCTCTTACTCTTCTATAATCTAGGTTCCTCTTCCTTTTTTTGTCCTTGCAATTTACTTTTAAAGGAACTGAGTCATTTGTCTTTTAGAATTTTCCACACTTTGTATTTTATTTATTGTATCTCACCTAATGTTATTAATGTTCCTCTGTACCTACATTTCCTATAAATTTTCCTATAAATTCTTTGGTTCAAGTTTTTAGCAAGAATGCATCATGAGTGGCTTTGGGTACTTAGACCAGAAGTTAAATATTTCTGGCTCTTTCTTTTTGTAATATCAAAAGCAATTGACTCTCTTTGCCTAGATCCATTATTTCATTGGAGGCTAAAAAATGGTGATAATTATTGGTTTTTTTGTTGCTGGAAGACTTGATCTTTAAAGAAAACTTTTCCTCATCAACTATTTTGTTACCTTGAGAAACAACTTATGTAGTTGAAGGCTGGTAATATAGTGGAGGCTTTCTTCTTTCCCTTTGTTTACCACTAGCATCCTCCAAAGGTGATGAGTGAGATGTTCTGTTTGGTTTTGTTTTTGTACCATTATGAAGTCATGCATTGACATATTTGATATGTTTTCCCTGCAGTTATTATTCATAATGAGAGTGTGTACATGCTGAACTTCTGGAGATAATTCCAAGTTCGTTTTTTCGAAATGATTGTACCAATTTTATACCTCACCATTAGTATGTGAGAGTTTCTAAGGCATACTTGGTATTTCCAGACTATAAATTTTCTACAAATATAATTGGTGTATAAGGGTATATATATCATTGTGATTTCACTGCTTATTCATTTTTAGACATTTATGACCTGAATTATTGATTTCTTATGATAGAGGAATATTATTTAGCTTTCATATTTCCTCAATATATATACTTACTAGTTCTGCCTCCATTTCCAATAAAGTTGATTATAATTTTGTCTTCGATCTATACTCATTATTTTATGACTATGTAATTACTGCACATAGTTGATGTCACCTAGTATATTATTTTTATTTTACATTTCTTGTACTTGTGTTTGTTTTTCATGGAGTTAATAATTGCCTTGTTGTTTTGTTCTTTAGTTTTCCATGTATATAATGCTAATTTACCCCGACTGTCTAATAGAAATATAACACTCCCCTCAGTATTGCCAAACACCAAATAATCTGTCAATTTTCTTTTGCTTTTCTTTCTTTTTTAACCTTAGAGACATCCTAGAGCACCCTCTCCTGACTCAGTCTGGTTTCACTGTGCTCTTGGCCTGCTGTGGAGCTGATGTCTTGAGCTCTCTTTCATCATTGTTCTTGAAATTCTCTTGGCTTCCCTCGTATACTGAATCTTGTTTCACGCCTTCTCAAGAGAGAGAAATGTTTACCTAATTGTTCAGATTTTAGTGTGTGGACTTGCTGTGGTTAAAAGTTCTTAGGACACAAATATGTTTGGTGTTCTCTTCTGTCCTCCTCTTCCATGGTGTGGAATGGGGTGGATGAAAGGTAAGGTCATGAATGAATGGTAGAGATATTGATACTGATATAAGGACAATGGGCCCAACTATCTTTCTCTCTTCTCTTCTTTTTTTCAAAAAGGCTTTCAACCTGGGACTAAAACCCCAGGTGTGGTTCAGGGCAGCTCCACACTAAATGATAGGGTCAAACACTCTCTCTTGCTCTGAGTCTCTTTCTCTGGTTCCATTTCTGGTGTACCTGAACAGCAATCATGAGATCATACTTGCAGCATCTTAGACTCAGGTTTAACGGTGGTGAAGGGCATGAGGTGGGGGGAGTGGGGGAAGAGAACAAACTTCATGGCTCTTTTGGTCTTGAAACTAGTACGAGTAGTTTAGGGAAAATGAATATTTCTGTGTCAAGGTTTATGGCCAAAGGCATAGCTGATTTTTCCACAGCCCTTAGTGTTTGTGGCTCCAATAAGAAACTTGTGGAGAGGGGTGGCTAGGCTTTGGGAAAGGACTGTTGCATTCCATGGTCTTCTGGTCAAAGTATCACTTTAGAAGCTCTACCAATCTTACAATCTTATCTAACACATTTGACCTGGTTGGTTAGATTGTCTTTAAGATTATGAGATAGTGTTAAAATTAGCTTTCTGTCTGCTATATCCTGCTAGGACCAGGTAGGATTTAATATCAGCCAGTTAGACAGTCAGAACTTTCTTACATGGAACGTTTGGAGCCACAAATGGTCTGGAACAACTTTTCCACAAGAAACCATCTTTGCGTAACATAGCTGGTAAGCCTTACAAAGAAATGTGGAATAGATGACAAACAATGTTGGAGTCTTTTTCCTTGGCTGTTCTATTAAGAATAAGCCAGACTCAACAGTAAAAAGATATTGTTATGAACTGAATTGTGTCTCCCTGAAATTCATATGGTGAAGCTCTAACCCCCAATGTGACTGTATTTGGAGATAGAGCCTTTGAGATAATTAAGGTTAAATGAGGTCATAAGGGTGGGCCCTAATCCACTATGACTGGTGTCCTTATAAGAAGAGAGACACCAGGCATGCATGTGTACAGAGAAAAGGCCGTGTGAAGATACAGCAAGAAGGTGGCCAGCTGCACACCAAGGGAAGAGACCATAGGAGAAAGCAAGCCTGCCAGCACCTTGATCTTGGAACTTCAGCCTCCAGAACTGTGAGAAAATTAGTTTTTGTTGAAGTCACTCAGTCTGTGGTATTTTGTTACGGCAGCCCTAGCAAACTAATACAGACATATAACTCAATTAAAAAATAGGCAAACAATTTGAATTTGAATAGATATTTCTTCAGAGAAGATATACAAATGTCCAAGAAGCATATGAAAAGATTCTCAACATTAGTAGTCATTAGGGAAATGCAAGTCAAAACCACAGTGAGATACCACTTCATACCCATTAGGATGACTGTAATCAAATACAAGGACAAGAAGCATTGATGTGGATGTGGAGAAACTGGAACTCTTGTGCATTGCTGGTGGGAATGTAAAATGGTGCAGCCGCTTGGGAAAATAGTTCGGCAGCTCCTCAAAAAATTAAACATATAGCTACCATATGACCCAGCAATTTCACTCACAGGTATATAGAGGATTGAAAACATAGGTTCACTCAAAAACCTGTACACAATGCTGCTACTGGCGTTATTAATAACCAAAGTGGAAACAACCCAAATGCCCATCAACTGATACACGGATAAACAAAATGTGGTATATCCACACAATAAAATGTTACTCAGCCATAAAAAGGAATGAAGTACTGATTCATGCTAGAACATGGATGAACCTTGAAAATATACTAACTGAAAAAAGCCAGACAGTAAAGGCCACATACTGTATGATTCCATTTATGTCCAGAATAGGCAAGCTCATAGAGATAGAGTGATTGCCAGGGTAGAGAATGCGGAGTAACTGCAAATGGGTATGAGGTTTCTTTGGGGCGTGATGAATACGTTCTGGAATTAGACAGCAGTGATGGTTGCATTCTGTGAACATACTAAATATTTTATAGGGCAAATCTTATGTGAATTATATTTTAATTAAAAAAAAGAATAAGCCAGAATCAGTGTCCTCAATGGTGAACCTGGAGGATGGGTGAGATTGTAACTTGAGTATTAGTAATGCTGGCTTGTGAATGAGGCTTTTGTTTTTCTCCATGAACACAGGTGAATACATATGTGTGTGTGTGTGTGTGTGTGTGTATTCATTTCTATATAAATCTAGGTGTTGTCTCATTGTCCATGTACATGGGAGAAAAACAAAAGCCTCTTTCACAAGTAAAATAGTCTCCAAAAGCATTGTTTCTTAGGCATTGGTTAGCACGGTGAAATAGAACATTTTAGAAGTTTGAGTCAGATGCTCCTTCTCTGAACCATCCCTACCTCAGCTGAGAATCACTGTGCCATCAGGTCCATGAAGATGAGTTCCGTTTTTCTGACATTGTCCAAAATTATCTTTAAAAACTTGCAAATAGCAAATCATGACCTTGCTCCTGGGGATTATCGGTACTCGAAGTGTGTCCTAATACTGGCAGCATCAGCATCACCTAGAGCTTTTTAGAAATGTATACACTCCCGAGACCTACTGAATCAGAAACTGTGTTTTCAAGGGCTCTCTAGATGACTCTGATGCATACTGAAGTTTGAGAAGCACTGATCTAGAGAACTTACAAGCAGGAAAGAGCACAAGTCTATGCGAATTTTTTGTAATAAATATTTGGGTTCTTTACATGTACCAAGTTAAGCACGAATACTGTCTCCCCCACCCCCCATACAAACCAGTGATTTTGAGTACACCTCACACCCAGATCTTGGTTTCTAAATACCATTCTCCACTAAGGGGATCCAAGCCTTTGTACTATTCCTGCAACTTTTCTCTATATTTGACATTATTTCAAAATAAAAAATTTTAAATATTTTAATTTAAAAAGATACAGATGACCCGAAACAAGCAAACAAAAATCACAGTTTATGGAACTCAGATTGAGTGTATTTATTTATTATAATCTCCAAAATAATTTCAGTTGGTACAACTGTTTCTTAAAACCATGTCACTATCAGGCTCAGAATTTAATTACAACCAAGCAATTCACAAAAACACTTTAAGCAACAAAACATGCTTAATATTTCTTTGAGAAAGGGCCTTCAAATATGTGTACAGCATTTCTGAGTGTTACACAAAACTGGTAGGTGACCCTTACATGCCCAAGTTCTGCGCCCTTAACAACTGCCCACGGTTACTTGTTCAACTCTTATGACATCTGTGACAGGCTGATTTAACCACTCCTTCCACATAAAGGGCGTTATGGTGCAATCTGTCTTCCTCTTAAATTTTAAACAATATTCTAGACCATTCCTTAGGAAAGTAAAACTATGCACACTTTCAGGGGGAAAACAAGCTGCTTAGACTTTTTATTTGTATATTATACACTTCAATTACGGGTTATTTACTAAAGACTCTTTAAAATTTATGTTACATTTTAAAAAGAACCAGTTAGTGGGGGCAAAAGTAGAAAATATTTACCAGCATGTTAGGGTCTCCTGAAATCACAGTTTTCTGGGTAAACACATAGAGCCATCACTAAAAATTTTTCACTATGTATTACACATACATTGGAAAGAACTTTAACACTTTGGACCATAAATTTTCACATCTTAAATAGTCATTTTTCTTTATTCCTTTAACAGTACTAAACTTCCTTTAAAAAATTTATATCCATCTTATAGATATGAGTTTCACTGTGAATTTTCAACACCTTGGTCTGAATCTGTTTATGAAAAAAAAATCTAACATCTGCAACTTCAGCTGGTTATACTGGGAGAGAGGGCTTACCATAATTTTATTATACCTTGTATTAACAATAAACCTTCTCACAGAGAAGAACATACTTTAAATACTTTAAATCATATTTACAACAATAAAATTCACATTTCATGCTTTAGTGAGACACTTAAATCATCCATAAGATAGTCCTCATAGTTTATTGAAACGGAGCCCTCTGTACCTGGCCTTCTTTGGGGTGCCAGATAGAAAGCTCACGATGTTACGGAAATAGCAAAACTTCTGCCATCCTCCTGTCAAGTAGAAAAACTGAGGGTAGATCTTCTCAGCCATCAAGCTGTGACGGAAATCCTGTGTCATAACGAGGTGGCAACCGATGTGCTTCAGACCTCGGGACCCATGTGAATCACCTTGCTCGTTTGAAAAGTGCTCAAAAGCCAGGATATTCTTGAATGTGAGTCCTAGGACAGAAATAGCCCTTCTGAGCACAGCTAAACACTTCATTTATGTGTCTATTGCACAGGATTTTATAAGCTTTCAGAAATAGTGCTGTATTTCTTTGCTTAGCTCCTATATACATTTTTCTGATAAGTTCAGTGTTTCATTGGGAAATGTCACTTGCAGAGAGCTCCCCTTCGGGGTAGGCCCAACCCTGCTAGTCCCGCCCACCTCGTCCACCAGTAAGACACTCTCTGAGTCCTGCCCCTGGGAGGAGTCCGAGGTCTCTGATATTCGTAAAGTCCTCAGTGAGGTGGTGTCTACTTGGGTCAAGCCCATGCCAGGCACACCTGGAAGCAAATTCCTGCCTCCGAGGCCATTTTCACTGAGGTCTGGCATGTAAAGGAGGGTCTGAGATGTGCTGCTGATCTCCTTCAGTTCCCGGGAAAGGAAGGAGCGAGAGTGGCCAGACATGGCAGAAGATGTCCTCCTGCTGTCTGAGCAGTGCGGTCCTGAGCGGTCTCTGCGGGACCCACCAATGCGGCAGAAGAGGCATTTGATCTTCTCTATCGCCTTACTGAGCACTGTCTTCCGCAGGAGGATGTATATCCAGGGGTCCAGGATGGGATTCACAGCAGCAATTCGGATGGCCTGCAAATCTGGGTTTTTGCTGACGTCTTGCTCTGAACTTGGCTGATACAACTGGTTGATGAACACTCGCACCTGCATAAATGAGAGGCCTACATTTAGATTTTATCATCAATCAATCAGAAATTCATTTGCATGCAATGTCTAACTTAGCCACATTAGGTAACTGCCCTCTTTTCTGCTAAGAGGTGCCAAAAAGAGAGCAGCTTACACAATAAGCCTCAGAAAAACCACTGGTTGTACAATTACATGTATGTTTCCAGATAGTATAACTTTAAATATTTTTGTAACTATCTTATAAACATCTTCTCTAGATCAAAAATGGTATACAAAAATGCAATGTGTGTACAGGCAACATATGCACAAAGTTCCCTTGAGAAGCACTTTATTAACTTCATTTCTGTGAATGCTTTTAAGTTTTTGTAAGTAATTAATGAGGTCTGTTTTTTCCAATAGCCATTGATTTCCCTTATTCCAGCTGCCATTTAATATATTTAAGTGATAGGCATTTTGTAAGTCAACTAACCATCTAATCATCATAGACAAGCCCAGAGATTCCTTTATTTTAGAGTCTAGACAGAATCTATTGGAAACTTTTCAACCAACATCTGACTCTCCTATCATCCAGAATGACCACAGAATAGTTTTTATTTTTCTGAGTCTGTTCCCCAGTTATTATCATCATCTAGCGTTATCAACCCTTCCTTCAAAAATCTGCTCCAAGTCTTTTCTCCCTAACTGCATTTCTCATCTGGATGACTGCATCAGCCACGGATCTAGCGTTCCCATCTCCAATTCCTGTCCTCTCTAATTCCTCTTCCAAACTGCCCCCAGAAGATGATTTCTAAAATGCAGATCTGATTATGCTACTCAGCTGCTAAACCTTCAGTGGCTCCCGGATGCTTGAAAACTAGAGTTTTGCTCAACAACTATGACTCAGTGAATGCATCCTGAGACTCGAGTCAGAATCAGTCCCTCCTCTGTGTTTGTAAGCATCTGAGCCAGGAAACAGCCAAGTGCCAAAAGGGCCGTCTGGATAGATCAGTAGGGATGACAACTCACTCTCGTGCTGTTTGAGCTATCTGAGTCCAGAGGCATGTCTGCCAGCCCCCCACAGGCCATGTATGGCTTACATGAAGGAAACACAAGGAGACCCTAACAAGCTGTTTGCGCTTTTGCAGTCTTGTTTTCAGCAGTTAAAAAAATTTTGCTCTTACTAGAACGACTTATTTATTCACATTTTCTCATGCATTTAATCATTCAACAGTAAGCACTTATTGTGTGTTAGGCATTGTGATAGGGTGCATTAAATACCACAGACATCTTAAAGGCAGAGAGTAACCCACAGTGCAGAAGAAGGAAGGTAGACCGACTGTTACTGCAGGGTCATTGGTAAAACGGGAGAGGTCCGTACATAATACAGGTATATGCAGTTAATCTAGACCTGGACGGGAGGGCGCCAGAAGACGCTTCCTGGACGAGAGGAAGCTTCACTGAGTTTTGATGGATGAGTGGCAGTTTGCTAAATTTAGAAAGAATGATACCACATTTCAAAGAGAGGCAATTCCATATGCAAAGTCTTGGAAGATTAAAATGATATACCAACTTCTGGGAACGTTAAAGGATTCAGTGAAGACAGCATGCATTTGTGTTAACGTAAGGAAGACAATCATCTTATTCCTTAGAAGAAAAAGCACTTCTTAAATGTACACTCTCAAATTTACTCTCAAAAAGTAGATCTTAAAAGTTCTTATCACATGAAAAAAAATGTTGGAACTATGTGTGGTTATGGATGTTAACTAGACTTATTGTGGTGATCAATTGGCAATATATGCAAATATGGAATCATTATGTTGTAACACCTGAAATTAATTTAACGTAATATGTCAATTATATCTCAATAAAACAAATATATATAAAATTTACTCTTAAAGTATTATTATTTTGTCAAGATTTTACTTCTAATTCTACTGAGACCTTTATATACAAATCTTACCTGTAATTCATATAAAAATATTGGTTTTAAGATAATGTCTTCAGCAATTATTTAATAATTGTCACTTGCCTTTAGTAATTATTTTAGATTAGGAAGAAGTAAGAGATGAGTCTCACAGCCAAGGAGGATGCATAAAAACCATAAAAAAGAGAAAGAACTCAGAAAAGCACACCTGGAGCCATTTAACTAGGGGCAAATATCCAACCATATCAAGACTTGAGACTATTGCTACCTTACCACACAGTAGAATAATTAAGATTCATGGTGTACGAATCACTAAGAAAGAATAGGGATATTTTAGTAAGATTTACAACAATTTGGATAAAAGAAGTTTAAAACTTTTAAGGAAATTTCATTAATCTGCAAGACAACTCATATGAAACTTACTCCTAGATGATGCTAGATCAGTGAGGTGTAATAATATTTCTATTTCTTCCTTAACTGGAATTTAGACCTTAAATACCCGCAGGTCCATAATCCTTTATCAAGAAATTGTTGTTCATTTGCTCTTGCTTTGTGTTATTCATTTGTTTTGTTTTATTTTTGGTTGCAAAACCTGACCTAAACTCATTTTGACAGCAAAACCTGAACTGACTAGACCATGAGGCTATTTATAGTTTTATTTATTCCACTTAGCGTGAGTATTCCTGTGTTTTGCTCCAGAGGTGCTGTCCCACTTCTGATGGGGCTGTATTATATTATACAGTGTATTACTAAATTACTTTTCTAAAAGCCAAGAAATTCTGAATTCTACAACACATCTGCCCTAAATGTTTTGGATAAGGAATTATGGTTCTATAACTCTCATGGAACAAAATGATGAAACAGCTCTAAGATGAAACTATTACCTTGATCTCCGGAAGACAGCTACATAAAAACTGAACTAGAACGAACGGCAGTATATGTGATGACTTCTCTTAAACTACTTGGAGAAACTCTGCTTGGATAAATGATGCTATCAAGACAAAGCATGACTGATTTTCTATCCTTAAAAAATCTAGTGCAGCAAAACACTTTGGTTTCTTCCTCCCATAATCTTTATTGAGTTTCTCAGCCGTGTCGGTGCTGAGAGATGAATCTCCCTTAGGTCTACGGACCTTTCTAGATGAAGTGTTACTGAGACCTGGAGGTTTTGAGGAACTTATCAAGGGCCCCCTACCCTGTTGGTGGCCGACTCTGGTCTGGGCTCCAGATCTACAGATGACTTCCATGTTGCTTTTTCTGTTCTACCAGGCTGAGTGGCTTTCTGTTTAACAGTTATTTCCCAGCAATGGAATTATTGGTAAAAAGAGTGAGGTCTATATTTTGCTCTTATCACATACAGATCTTCCTCAGCTTACAATGGGGTTACATCCAGAGAAATCCATTGTAAGTGGAAAACATCCTAAGTGGGAAACGCATTTAATACACCTAACCTACTCATCATCACAGGTTAGCCTAGCCTGCCTTAAATGTGCTCAAGACATTTCCATTAGCCTATGGTTGCACAAAATCATCTAACACAAAGCCTGTTTTATGAAAAAGTGTTGAATATCTCATGCAATTTATTAAATATTGTCCTGAAAGTGAAAAACATAATGGTTGTATGAGTACAACCCTAGTGATCAAGTGGCTGACTGGGAGCCAGCACCACCAGAGTACTGTACGGCATATTGCTAGCCCGGGAAAAGATCAAACTTCAAAATTCAAAATATGGTTTCTATTGGAGGCCTATCACTTTCACACCATTGTAAAGTTGAAAAATCAGAAGTTGGGGATCATCTGTATTCATTCCTAAAGGTAAAAGAAATGATGGATTAAATCTGTTACCATCAGGCCCTCCATGTCGTCTACAAAAATGCCTATGGCAGGGTTTATGCGGACTTGAGACTTCCAGCCTCTAGGTGGCAGTGTTGCTCCACTTGGGACTTCTTGGTCCCATGAGGCCTTCCTAAGAAGCTTTTCACCCAGCCATCTCTAAGACCCTCTTTCAGAACAGACTCTTGGTTAAGTCTCAAGTTTGTGTTTCTGATATTTTTGACATTTAAATGTTTTGTTGCTAGTTGCTTCTCCCACCGCCACCTCAAAGGAAACATGGTTCCTACTGAAAGGAGGACAATTTTTAACAGTTAAAATGGCTATAAAAGGAATGAAATTTATAGCTATTTAAAGGAATGTATTGGGAATTCCCATTTTATTTTAAATTTCTATGACCTTTTAGAAAAGTCTGAGTGTTGTAAAAAAAAAGTAATAATGGGCTTCCATAATCAAAAGTGACAAGAGGCAAGGAAAGAATCGTCTCTGTGCCTCACTCCATCCCCAGCGGTAATTAAGTTTGACTACTGTAGAAAGGAATGAAAGCAAGCCCTAGTTTAGACATCCATGGGGGTTGCAATGAACACAAGCCACGGAGCCTCGTCACTTAGTTTCGGCAAAGGGGCGCTCACAGGGTGGCAAAAAGATGAATACAAAAAGCGAAATTCCAAATTCAGGTAAAAGCATTCTCAAAAGTCAGTCAAATTATTTGAAAAGAATCAAGACAGATGAGTTTTCTTTCGCAGCATGTTTTCAATGGATATTGACTTGAAATAGAGAAAAAAGGACAAAAATGAACAAAAGCTCCACGTACTTCGTAATGTTTGAAAAAATATAGCAATCTCCTCCTCATTTAAAGGCGACTAGGTTTGCTCTCCCCAAAGGGGGAAACCCCAGATGACGATGGGACTATCCACAGCAGTACTTCAGTGGCATGTGGGGAGAGGAAAGCACTTTTCTGGAATTCTTGTCCAACGGAGCCCCATACGTTAAACAAATAAACACGGCTCAGGCAGTTTTCAGTGTTGGAAGAGTGTGCTGTTGATAAAACAGAACCTCCGAGTCAGGGGGGAAAACACCCTAAAAGAATTACCTGAACACAAACAACACATACTCTGTTTTAATATTAAGTGAGTCCATTTTTTAGTAGCTGCAGATTTGTGCACGTAGTTTACCATTCATATTGGCAGACATTACAATATTCTCAACTACTTGAGGATGACTACAGATTACGGTTCAGGGGCACTGGAGCATAACTTGGAGAAAATATGATAAATCCAGAAGAAGATGTGATGACAGGAAAGCTGAATGTTGTGGAGGTAACTGCGCAAACTCTGGAATCAAACAAACCTCTGTTCATATCCTAGCTCTGCTCCTTATAATTTATGTACAAATGATGAAAGCGCTTAGGAAAATGCCTAACATTTAACATATTTCTTGGCTGTCATTACTTTTTTGGTAAACCATATGTGAAAGCTTGACCACTGGAATATATCAATAATTTGAAAATCACAGCTTAGAGGTAGCTTTGGGGTACAGCTAATGACATGCTATCAAAACCATGTACTTGCTGTTTAAGAACAACCTGTTGGCAGGGAATGTCTAATTGAAAAAACATTGAAATTTTGATTAGGCCGATTTAGTTATTGACTGTCAAAGTAGAAATGCTTTCCACTAAATGACAAGGTTTGTGCGTGTGTGCTACTTGCTGTGTTCCAAGCACATAAAAGGAACGATCTGTGTGTGCTCAGTTATCTAACTCCCTTGTGAAGAGTCCAAAATTGACACAGCTGTTACTAGAAATTCTTACCACTTTTTTTTTTAGTGACCAAAAAAAAAAAAAAATCCTTTAAGTAAAGAATAGTGGGAAGAGTTCTTACTGGGCAGTGGTGTAGGAGAGCTCAATTTTCCTTCCCTCTGGGTCACTAACTAGCCATTTACTATGGGCAAATTACTTTATAGGCCAGTGTCTACATCAAAAATTTATTTTTACTTTTAAAGAATTTTTTTTTTTTTTAAATCTAACTTTCAGCATTTAATAGGAGACTACAAGAATCACTTCAGCTCTGGGGGAAAAAACATCTTGTTAGTAGATGTTTAATAACAGCAAGCCTTGACAGGTCAGCAAAGCACTGTGAAAAGAGCACCGGACTAGGACTGATCCATAGCCACCTGGTAAGATGCAAAAGGATAGAAATTCTTCATCTTCAGTTGAGAAAACTGAGGTGCAGACAGAGTGAAAATATTGGTCAGCCCTACTTTCTCCCTAGAGCTTTTTTCAAGATTCATCTGAGATGCCGGCCGTGGAAATAAGTTACTTTTATGCTACGCTGCGATCTTCCAGGTAACACTACTAGCTCTCCAAATTTCATGTTGTGACTCAAAGATTGCTTTTAGGAATTGGTATTTTTTTAACTTAGCTGAATTTATTTGAAAAATAATCAAATCCTTCAGGTTCTCCTGTAATAGTACCCAAATTTATGGCATTACTCTTGTATCTATAGATGCAAGCTTTGCTCATCTGAAATCCCATCAGCTTTATGACTCCACTTCCACTTTGCCCACAGCAAACAAAAGTGTATCTATTTACGAAGTTTTCATCTGCCCTAACAAATCTTTGCTGATCAAATGCTGGGTAAGGCTTTACAGAGACAACCAGTTTGTGGTAAGCAACCAAATACACACTCACAGGAAGCTATTTTCCCAAAGACCTAAGTTTTACCCTCCAAGGCAGAGGATTAATCAAACTGGCCATTCTACACCTAACAGAGATGAATACTTGTTATTTCAGAGAAAGAAGAAGATAAAAGAAATAAGTAAGCAATGAATATGGTCTTGGCCTGCCTGTGCATGGAGCAAAATGCCTCTCCGAACCCTACAGTATTAAGTGTTTAGTCCTGAGGCAAAAGATTTGATTATAATCATTATTTTAACATTAGTAACTGCAAAATTAGGCATTAGAAGTTGATCTAGCCACAGCATTTAACACCAGGAACTTATGAGGCCGTCTTGCTTGCATATTTCTAAAGAATTCAATCCCCTTTGTTTATCTTAAGCGTAGACTCTTTCATTTCTTCACCTTCTCTTGTATTTTAAAAAACCAGAGACTGGTTATAAATAGAATAGACAAAATGACAAGAACCACCGTCCCACTAAGTCTTGTCTTGTAAGGTTCCTTCTAGATTGTACTTACACCTTCTCTGTTCATTGATTATGACTCACTTTAGAAAATTTTGCAAGTTCAGCACAGTTCCTTATATCTACAATTAAGTTCTCAACCTTTCTCGAATTTCCATTTCAAGCTTTATTTATGAGACCCATATATTTTGGATGACAAATTACAATTTACTTTTCATACTAAACTCAGTATCAACCGCCCTCTAAGAGCCACTCTAGTTTTTTCTTCCCTGGTGTCCAAAAGACAAAAACTTGGCTGCTTTTCAGTGACTGCTTGTTTTCCTTTCATAGTGTGTCAAACTTTCTGAAATTGCAAGTAAACTGTCTTTGCTCTGGTAGTCTTTCCAAAGCTTTTTAAATGTTACGAACGGTTTGATTTTCCTCAAATAGGATTAACAACCAACTCAGTCTAATAAAGTTAACAGAGATGCTTCATTGGTTTCCTTGGAATTAAAGACAGCTCCAACTGCTTTAAATGTCAGAGAGTTTGGAAACTTTAAACTTAAATTACAATACGAATATGAGAAACATGAAAAAAACAAGAAAGTTGTAAAAGGAAGCCAGAGAAAACTATAGTTGTGGATAAGTTTCCCTTTTAATTCTTTCATAATCACTAACCTGTGGTTGGGTGGGTAGTACAATGACCCCATTGCTTATCATTAATTTACAATTAACCTGCTTCTGAAATTAGATTTTGGTAGCCAAAACTAAAGGCTACAAACTGAAGATACCACTACTTACATGATTCCTTACTACTTAAAAAGGTACGTGTTTCATCGTGTGTTAACTTCTTAGCTGAGCCAGTTTCAACCTTCAAGGTACAATTCCTTACTATCTACTACATGTTACTGACTTTATATAGAATGGACAGTATTTGTAAGTTGAAATGTAGTTAATTTGCAAACCACAAATATAGCTCCTATAATTTCTCGCCTCCAGCTTCTCCAATAATTTCAAAAGCTTTGTGATAAATGGCCTTGCACCTTACGGCTAGGTCTGCCACTTCGGCCCATTAGATGAATTAAGCTTTTATGCCTGTCTAGATGCTGGAAGAAAACAATTAATTCATCTGTGACTGTGCAGTCATCAACAGCTTCACAAGTTTACCTCCAACCAAAACACATTTAACAAGTATGTGCATGTGGCTAAACTTCCAGCTCCAATTCCTCAGTTCCTTAAAGTGGATGTTCTGTAAATAACGACCACTCACTTTGTCATTTACTGTTCTGTAAAACATAAGGCAGAAGCCAGAGAAGGGAGCCCCAGCAGGAGCAAAGCTGTTTCTTCCAAAATCTCGCTTTATTCAGAGTTGCCATTACAGACACTAAAATATATTTATGTGGCTCAAGTGTGACTTAACTCTGTATATTGGGTCCTGGAATGGTTTAAAGGGCGGTCTGGCCAATTATATTTACTTTTGTTTATACAAATTGGCAAGAAGCTACTGTATGCTGGCTCTCAGCCACCTCTAAGTTCCTTCCATTTACAGTCACTTTTATCAGAGATAGGATATTTTTATCTTAAAGATCCCTGGACAGCATTAATAAGGGAAAAGAAGGAATAACAGTGTGTTACATTTCTTTTCTCTTGTTCTCAATCAGCGTAAGAAAGAGAAGTCCTCTCTGAGTTGGTAGTTTTAGAATTTCCAGGAATGCAGTGTTTTGAGAGATGGAAAAACTCAGGACTAGTGGCTTTTAAGAGAAACTCTGGATAAAGTATTGTGTTCATCTGCCCATCAGTTTCTGGTGCATTCCGTTTTCATGACAGGCAAAGTAGAGGACAACGAGGTAGGTTTTCAACCTTTCTGCTTTTAATATTTAAAAAGTTAATCCGAGGAGAATTTTAAAGCTAGTGGTGTCCTAAAAATGAAGCATCGCCACACTCAAACACACAAGGTACAAAGGTCAAAATTAGAAGTGTTCTGGGAGGGAGGCACAATGTGCTACCACACGAGCAAGGTCTGGCGTCAGGTGGGTCTGAGGTTCATCACACGCCGTGGGGCTTGGGCCTGGCAATAAATATGACGACCATCTCTAGAGCTCCGTTCCTCTAGAGTGGCACTGTACCTTTCACAGTGGTTGAGAATTCAAAGTCAATGCCCCATGTACAGCAGCCTGCCCTTAACAGGCCCCCTGAGAACCTTGCTTGCCTGGCCCCTAGAGAGAATGAAGGAGCCCGAGTCTGGGCCATGTCCTGTGCAGGAATTGTGACCCGAGTGTGCACTGAGACGTGGTCCCAGGGCCCAGCATGGTAAAGAGCACGGACTTTTGACAGTTGTATTTCTGCTAGATTATTTTAAGCAAGTTACTCCCTGTGTAAACTGAGGGAGTTAGATTAGACCAAAAAGCATCCAGTATCTCGTCTAGCTCTAAAATTCTACATCATCTACCAAAAAACCCTGCATAAACCAAAACACCAAACCCCTACTGCTCTAAGGAATGGTGTACACAAAGAGATCACCAGCCCTGACGTTTCGGATTCTGCGGTTCACAGTGTGCAGGACTGGGCTAAGTCACACTACAGCAGTTTCCCCGCCGCCTCTGACAGAGGGTGGCGGGTGTTCCCGGAAGGCTCAGGGCCAATGTCAGGCAGCAAGGGGTAGGGGCCGTCCCGGGAGAGAAAGGAAACCGGCTTTCGGGGAAAGAAACTCGGGGATGTAGGGTAAAAGCACCTGCAAAATCTCTAGGGAGACGGCCTAGGAGGAGGCTGGGTCTGCTCTGAGAAGCCGAGCTGGGGGTCCCAGCCCTGACCTGGAGGGCACGGGTTCCCTGCCAAGGAAAGAGCGGGAAAGGAGGGAGCGGGAGACGGAGGAGGGAGAGGGATGCAGGAGAAGGGCCGCGGGGGGTCCCAGTCCGGCCACTCACCACGAGCGGGATGGAGCAGATGAGCACCACCAGGGAGGTGGCGATGAGTAAGATGACCATCTGGATCTCGGCGCCCGCGATGCGGCGGAAGCTCCGGCGGCGGCGAAAGTCGCTGAGGCGCGGCAGGGCGGGAGAGGCGGCGGCCGGGGGACCCCGGCAGGCGGCCGAGGCCACGGCGGCGGCGACCGCGTGGTGCTGTTCGGTGCCCAGCGAGGTGCGGCGCATGAACTGGCGGTGCATGCGGAGCAGCGCGCCGCACACGAGCACGTTACAGAGCACGGTGGCGAGAATGAGGAAGGAGCTGAAGCCCGCGTACATGTAGGAGAAGGCGGCGTCCGCCGTCACGTTGGTGGTCCAGTCAATGAAGCACCAGGTGTTCGGGTACTGCAGCCGCGAGCTGCCGAGGCCCATGTTGGGCAGCGCGCAGAAGAGCACATTGGACACGTAGACGGCAAAGAGCGTCAGGCCCGCCAGCCGCTTGTCCACATAGTGGCTGTAGAAGTAGGCGTGGTTGATGGCCAGGTAGCGCTCGATACTCATGGCACAGATGATGCTGAGGCCGGAAAGGCCGAAGAAGAGCAGGATGAAGGTGCTGTACTCGCACAGCGCTTCGCCCCCGGGCCACTCGCCCTTCATGTACGTGGCGATGGTCACCGGGCTCACCAGCAACGTGCCCAGAAGGTCGGTGACCGCCAGCCCGCATACCAACGTGTAGAAGGTCGTCTCCTTCTGCTCCTTGCGTGACTTGCACAGTACCACGATGGCCACCAGGTTGCCCACCACCCCGAAGATGAACATCACCGCCGGGATGGTCACCGGACTCTTGGGCAGGTTGGAGCTGGCGATCGAGGAGGCGGTCGCATTAGCCCCCGGGGTGGACATGATGGTGGCCGGCGGGACGCAGCCTTGGAGTGCGAGGCTGGGTCTGGGGATGGTAGGAGAGAGACAAAGGCGCGGTGAGCGAAAATGACCACTTGCAAGGTGTCAGACCCGCGTCCAAGAAACAATACGCTGATGAGACAAGGGGAGCAACTCCATCCTACAGTGTGGATTGTATCCACTTACCAAATGCGGCTACCGAAATGTCTAGGCTCCGGATACGTCTTGCCAGCAGCATCACTCTACTGACATTAATATTTATAAGTTGATAGTGCCATTCTCTCCTCCTCTCCCCAGCCCAACTCCCTCCACTGCCAAGAAGAACAAGACTTATCTCGAGGGAAAAGTGGCTCGCTCTTATTCCCGACAGATTCTGAGTCAATAATATTCTCATTAAAAACAAGTTATGGAAGACAATTTGGAGGAGGCGCTCTCCTCCCTGGCTCCTCTCCCGGAGCGCCCGCCCACCGCTCTCTGTTCAGTGCCCCCAACCCCATCTCACCTGTGGTGGCTGCGGCAGGGGCAGCCCCGCGAGCCCCCAGGGTCAGGCCTCAGAGGTCCTGGACACGCCTCCAGACAGCCCGCAGTCTCGCCCCGCTCAGTGTGGAACTTGCCAAGCGTTTGCCTTCTCAGAGCCGGGTCTCGGTGGCTGCCAATTTTCCGGAACTAGGTCACAGTGGCAAGCTTTCAAAAACTTGGAGAACCAGAAGGGCAGCGGAAGGGTTAGTGAAGCCTGATCTTGAATTTCTTTCTGTTTCTTCGTTCCTTCACAGACGAGTCCAAGCTTTGAGGAGCCCGAAGGTCCCTTCGCGGGCGGATAGCGCTCAGATGTGCGGCCGCGCGCGCAGGTGGCACTGAGCCTCAGTCCCTGGCTCGGAGTACCTTCCTCCCTAGCCTTGGGCAGCACGGGCAGCTACCGGGGCTGGTGGCTGCCGCTGAAGTCGCTTCTGGCGCCCTGGGGGCGGCTTGAGGTCCACTCGGCCTGAGGCTCTGACCTGGGGCCGTTCATCTTCTTCCTCTCGGGCTGCGGGGTTTCGAGCTCCGCTCTCGCCCTTGCAGCCTCTGTACAAACTTTTCTCCTGCTTCAAGTTTCCCTGGCGGAGGCGGGGACACACAGTGCGCGGCCCGGGCGCCCATTGGCCGGCCGGGCAGGGGGCGGGGCGCGCCCTCCCTCCGCGGCGCGACGGAGAAGGCGGCGGCCGGGGGCGGGGCTCCGGCCCCAGAGGGTCCCACTGCGCCGCGGCGGGTGGCTCCCCGCGGCTTTCCCGCCCTCGGAGGGGAAGGTCGCCGAGACGTGCCTCCCATGCCTCGGGCTGATGGTGCTGACAGGTCGCCTTTGGCGGGGACCACGGGGAGCCCCGGTGCTCTCCCGGGCACCCTCTTAGCCACTCTGAACTCGGCGTCCAGGGGCCCAGCTCTGAAACCAGCATCTCTTCTTCCTCACTGCCTCCCGCTCCGAGTGGGCTGTTTCGTGCACCTTTTACACGCGGGTCGTAACATCTGGGTGCTGGGAAGGGAAGTCAGCTGCTTTAGGACTCCACCTTGGAGCGGCTGAGGTGTACGTGTGTGCGCGCGTGGCCCCCGGAGGAGGAGTAGGCTCTGTGCGCGCGTGCGCGTGTCCCCTGTTCAGAGGTGGGGTGCGCGCAACGGGTTTGGTGGGTGGATGGGAGGGTGGGTACCAGACTTGGGCGGGGAAACGACGGAGAATCCATCCTCTCACCGGGAAAGGAGTTGGTTGGCAGTGCTGAGTTGTGGGCTGGGCTGGGCAGGGCAGCCCCAGGCAAAAAAAGGGAGACGGGACCGCAGCTTCTCACGGCGCAGCTGGCCGAGTCCTGCGGCTGTGAAGGGAAGTGGCCCGCCGGCACCCCATGGGAGAGCCAGGGAGGCTGGGAGGGCTGGCTGTCTAACCGCGGAGACCTTTCTCCTCCCCCGGAGAACTCCTCCGTCCTGCAAGAACGGCTAGAATGAGCTTCATGCCTTGGCCCTGTTATATTCATGTTAGACACCTTCCCCATGAATCCTTTGAACGGATGGTGGAGAGCGAGACGGGGATTCGAAACTGGAGTAAAAGAATTCTCCAGTCGTTACCTCCATAGTTGACTCTTCGAAAAGCCTATTTGCTCTACTCGTTTTTGTTTGATTTGCAGTTTGTTTGACTTTTGTGGGAACAATTTTTCTGTATACTCATTATTCACTTATTCCTACTCTATTTCTTAAAATCTGAACTGAAAACTGAAAAAAAAAAGCTTGTAAAACATCATGGTATAATTATAACCGCGTCACCATTTTCTTTTTAAACCATAAAGTAAGATTGCATGAGCTTTCACACAATTTGAGTTCCTAGGAAAACCTCTTTCCGTGTGCCGTATACATGCATTTTAACGTGTTGCGTCTCCTCACAGGGCGAGTAAACAACTCTATTCTTTTATATGATAAACAGGCACTCGTTCCTTAAATGTTGTTTCATGAATGAACAAACCTCCTAAGAATTTATCTGGTTCTCCAGTTATTCTCAAATGGCACAGTATCAAATGAGTAATAGAAACAGAGGGCATTCCAGATTTCAACTAATTACAGGACATAAAATAACTAGAATCACATTACTTAGGTAAGGCACCATATGGATATATAAATATAGTATCATTCTCCTGTTTATTCTATTTGCTCATGAATAGCAAGGATTCAGAAAAACACACATTTGTTAGCCAATATAAAAAGAATTCATGGTGATTGGTGAGTGTCTCAGAGTCTTCTCTTAATCATCGCTATAAACACTTCTGTTGCCTGTGCTTCCTTTGAGTAGTAACCTCCAGAATTGTCATCATTGAAAACAAATCGGCTCTAGAAAGAGGAAACTGCACATTCTGCCCCAGTTCCTCCCTAACCACATTGCATCACTGTCACCCTGTCAGGTGGTTGTCAGTAAATATATGAAGGGGAGATGGGAAGTTCCACTTATACTCACTTTCAGCTAAGAAAAATATTTTTTCCAGTTTTCTTTCTATTTGAAGTTCCTAAAATGAAAAACAGTTAAGATTGGTACTTGTTAATTTTTCAGGGTAAAGAGTATGTTAAATGTAAAAATTCAGGCACACTGCTGAGATAATGAGTAAGTATTATCGGTTTTTAGAATGTAATCCGGGCTATCAATATTGAGTTGTTTTTCTTCCTAGTCCTTAAAATTTTCTTTCCACAGTAGCTTTAGGAAGATGAAAATAAGTAACCAGGACACAAGATGAAAAAAATGCAATGAGGTTTACCTGTACCCTTTTTTGGTGCATGATTCTTAAAGCTTAAATTTTGCCTTCTGGAGTAGAAGTTGAAGATTAGGGAAACAAATAATTATTTTCTTAATTTGAAAAACTGGGACTGTGTAGCTCAATTTCACTCACACTCTGCCAGGAATCTGCGTAGCAAAAGGAAATGGAGAATTGCCATGATTATGTGGATGATTCTTGTCACTGTATATTTCAATGAGACGTTTTTATTCTAAACATTGTTTTCTATCCTTGCTTGCAATTTCTGCCTCAACTTCTACTTCTCTACACTGGAAGACTGATTCAATTCTTTAGAACTGTTGTTAAATCCTGTCTGAAGGTTGGAACTAGTCCAAGAACAGCCTGACTGATCAGTTTGCTTGCTCTGTCCTAGCTAATTATTTGACTGCTCTTTTGAGTCAACACCATGAGATGGGAACCCCTTTAAAAGCAAAGGCTACATGGGGGCTGCTAATCACATTCCCTTTGACTAGGTTGAATCTTCCTTGGGTCAGAGGAATGGGTAAGACAGGGGGATAGTTCCGGGGAGGAAGGCAGCAGGATGAATCAGATCTGGCCTGGACCCCTTACTAAGGCAAAGCTGGCCTGATGGTAGAGCATTCCTAAAGCACTAATATTCGTGTAACGAAGCCTGTGCAAATTGTGTTTGTTCTTTGTCTTTCACGACAGGCCACGTGGATACTCAAAACAGAGTGAAAAAGACATCTATCTGGTGCAAATAACACAGTGCCCTGGGACACGTTTGCACAGTTGGTTCAGGGGATTACAAGCATTAACCTGACCTTGGGTGTGAAAAGAGGTCCGTGATTGTGGTTGTGGCTGTAATGACTGCCCTCCCTTTTTAGTGGTGCATTTCTAATGTGTGGTCTCCTAATTATTTTCATTTTCTCAGCGTGAATTTTGTGCTGAGTCTAGTGCCTGGAGTTGTTAACGTGTCAGTGCCAGGATTAACTCCCCTGCATCTTCTTGTGGTGATAAATGACTGCTGTGGAAGCTGGCTGCCACCAAGGGATTGCTTCAGGCTGCTTCCTTCTCTGACAACTACACTCAAAGTGATGGCTTTCTACCCCTTTACTTTTCACTTATTTTTTTCTCCAAGTAAATGTTTCCATTGCACTCCCATTGTGGATGGGCCAATGGGGAGAGAAAGGGGATTATTTACTTCTCGTTGCCCATTTTTGAAGACACATGTGGAGAGTCTCTTCTACAGGAAGATGGACATTGTGATTACATTTCAGTCTATTCTCACACCGCCCAAATTGCTGTGTTTTTTAGCACTTTAGAAAATACACAGAGACTCACTAGTTTGATCATCAATACCAGTATCGTCTGTAGCTTGTTTATCACTTTCCATGGCACTTTGACATTGGCATTCACACGCGGTCTTATTAGCAACTCCTTGAGGATGTTAGGTAGATGTGATGGAGACTGCCATGTTTCACCAAATCCTGTTTCCATTTCTTCTTGAACGCATAGCTGGATGTTACTTCCCAGACTTTTTGTAGTTAGGTGAGGCCTCTTTGACTGAATTCCAGCCAAGGGCATACAGGTAGAAGTGATGTATGTCACTTCCAGGCCTCGTCCCTAATAGACCCTGATCCTCCATGCTATCTTCCCTTTTCTGCCAACAAGATAAAAGGCCCTGATTTATGGCAGAGCCATTAGATAGAAGGTAACTGGGTCCTTGAATGCCTGCATGGAGTGGGACCTCATTCCAATCCCAGTGACCCTCATTGGACAATGAACTGAAAGAGAAATAATCCGCTGAGGTTGGAGGGGCTGCTTGTTTCAGCAGTTAGCCTGTGCTGACTAATAAGTATGATGGGAATCATCTGTCTTCAGTAACGAGAATGTGGGCGCAGAAAAGCTATGTGACTTGCTCAGAGACACAAGAATTAGTAAGACCAGCTGAAATGTACGCAGTGATTAGTCTGTGAGACACTGTGTTGAATGCTTTATGCATTTGTCATCTAATCCTCACAACAGATCTATGGGGAAGGTACTACATAGTAATATGCCCATTTTACAGATGAGCAAACTGAAGTTTGCTTAAGGAATGTGGAGGACACTGTCATTTTTTAAAAGACTACACAGCATCTGGGGATGGTGGTGCCAAGTGTCTTATAGCGTAGCGGCTGCTGGTTGAGACATCCTAACCACCTCAATTAGGTGTGGCGTTGGCTGAGATGGCTGCTGCCAGCCTTCCTACTGACTGTTTGTGCAATTGGTTGTCTTTCCAGTGAATTATTTTCTTGCTTAAATTGGCCATACTCAGTTTCTGTTGCTTTCAAATAATAACCCCACCCGGTACCGAGAGGTTGAGTAAATTACAGATCACGGTACTGGTAAATGGCAGAGCAAAAATTTTAATCTAGGTCTTCCTGATTCCCCCACCTGCACCCCTGACCCTTATATTTCTTAGTCCAAACTGGAACTCCAACCATATGACTCTCAGTCCTCTTCTTTTCTCCCTCGATATCATTCGCTTTGAGATAAAGAAAATCTGAGTTTAATATTATGCCTTGAAAGAAGCTGTCCCCTGACTGGGATGCTTAGTGAACCCCTGCAACGGAAGTCCAAAGCTTTTAATCGGGGAGCAGAGGGATGAAGCAGGATTGCCCCCTGGGAATAATATCAACTTCATCATCTGTTGAAATTCAAGCCAAACATTAGTCTCAGGCCTGGCCTGCCCCCTGCCTTCCAGAATAATGGGTATTGATCTCAAAGGAAACTAAAGTTATAAGTTAAAACTCAGCTGTAGTTTAAGAAGATTTGAAGGTATGGAAGTCT